AGCCTGAATGATAGAGCAAGGCCTTATCTAAGGAAAACAAAACAAAACTGTAATATTTACTAATAAAAAATTCAGGGTCAGAAAAATTTATGTAACACATAAGATAATTAATTTCACAAGAACTTGGGGAAGAAGGTATGGGATTGCTGACAAGAAGCAGCAGCATTTTGTTATAAGCAATTACTGTGAAGGAGGGACTTAGCGTGACGTCCATTCATGAAAAGGGTTCCAGAGAAGGCCTTGGACCTGTACTATTCAATTAAGTAGTCACTTGCCACAAATGGCTATTAAAATTAAAATTTAATTAATTAAAAATTCAGCACCTCAGTCACATTACACATGTGGCTGGTGCTTACCCTATTAGGGAGCACAAATATAGAACATTTCCATCATTGCAGAAATTTTCACTGGATAGAGCTGCCTGAGATTCTAATTCCCCTATACAGACAGGGAGTCAGGCTGATAGAATCTCTCATAAAGGGAGGCAAGCAACCTACTCTGGAAAAGGAAGTATGGTTTTCTGGAGACAGGACCACACTAAAATGGCTCTTTGGGAACATCAATGAATTTAAAGATAAGATAGAGCAATAGCCATTTGTCTAGACGTTCAAAAAATTACTAAGATTCTACACCAAAAATTATTTTAAAAATTTAGGTACCCCCAGAACTAGAGGTAATATTTTGCTGTATGTACAGAACTGCTTAGAGAGAATGGGCAGCTTTTTTTTTTGGGGGTGAAGGAAAATGTGCTGGAAGAGATATTCCCCCCAAAGATTGGTATGGTAAGCAATGTTTTCTACAATGATTGCAAATTACCTGGAACACATAATATATGGTTTAATCTTCCAGATGGTATTTCACTGAAGTTGATGCTGAATATGAAATCAGTGCAGAGAAAAAGTAACCTTTTGGAAAAGCTCATAAGAACTAGAGTAAGCAGAAAGATGACTTATGAAATTCAATGAAAACTGGTATTATTATATTAAAAACAATCCAAACTGGAATTATTAAATGATGGGATCTGAATTATCAGCTTCATACCAAGAAGTCATGTAGACTGATCCTTTGATTTTCATTTGCTGCTGATGGCGGAGGAGGAGGGCAAGGCGTGCTCAGCAGACACTTGGGTGCAAATTAGAAAATGTGACCCCTCCAGGCAGAGGGCTAGCAGAAAGAAGCTTCTCTGGGTACCTCAAGAAAACTACAAATACAGCTACCATATGACCCAGCAATCCAACTGCTGAATGTACCCCCAAGTAAAGGAAATCAGTATATCAAGGAAATACCTGTACTCCCATGTTTGTTGCAGCACTGTTCACAATAGCCAAGATTTGGAAGCAACCTAAGTGTTCATGAGCGGATGAATGGATAAAGAAAATGTGGCATGTATGCACAATAGAGTACTATTCAGCCATAAGAAAAAAATGAGATCCTGTCATCTACAACAACCTGGATGGAACTGGAGGTTGTTGCATTAAGTGAAATAAGCCAGGCACAGAAAGGCAAAGTTTGCATGTTCTCACTTATTTGTGGGAGCTAAAAGTCAAAACAATTGAACTCATGGAGACAGGGAGTAGAAGATTGGTTACCAGAGGCTGGAAAGGGTAGTACGGAGAAGAGGAAAAGTGGATATGTTTAATGGGTACAAAAAAAAAAATTGTTAGAAAGAATGAGGAAGATCTAGTATTTGATAACACAACAAGGTGACTATAGTCAATAATAATTTGATTATACATTTAAAAATAACTAAAAGAGTATAACTGCATTGTTTATAACACAAAGGATAAATGCTTAAGGGGATGGATACCTCATTTTCCATGATATGATTATCATATATTGCATGTCTATATCAAAGTATTTCATGTACCTCATAAATATGTATACCTACTATGGACCCTTAAAAATAAAAAATAAGGCCGGGCATGATGGCGCACGCCTATAATCCCAGCACTTTGGGAGGCCGAGGTGGGTGGATCACGAGGTCAAGAGATCGAGACCATCCTGGTCAACAAGGTGAAACCCCGTCTCTACTAAAAAAAAAAATACAAAAATTAGCTGGGCATGGTGGTGCGCACCTGTAGTCCCAGCTACTTGGGAGGCTGAGGCAGGAGAATTGCCTGAACCCAGAAGTCGGAGGTTGCAGTGAGCTGAGATCATGCCATTGCACTCCAGTCTGGGTAACAACAGCAAAACTCCATCTCAAAAAAAAAAAAAAAGTTAAATTAAATTAAAAGAGCCTCTATGAGCAGAGAAATTAGAGAAAAGCTTTCCTTCCTCTAGATGCATGCAGGCCTGTGCCAGGGTACATGGCATGGCAAGGTAACCTCTGTGCCGAATTTCAGTGTTCTGCCAGTCCCACCCTCTGAACCATCCTGTGCCAGATGCCAGGTGCTGGGCTTAATCATACTAGGTGACCTGTCTGGAACACTCTCCCACCCCCATCAGAAAAAGTTATGCCCGAGTATACAAGCTGTAGTGTATTCAAACGTAAGAAATTTTTACAACCTGATTGTTCATTGTCAAAACCCATGGGAAAGCTTAGAAACTTCCTAAGGAAAGTAACCAAAATCATCACAAGGACAGGGTTATGGAAGAGTTTGAAAGTAGGGTTTTTTTCAGCCTGAAAGGCAAGGGAACATATGAATAAAGTTTATAAAATCTTAAGAGACTGGAAAAAAGGATTTAGCAACTCCGAAAGCACTAGAACCAGTGATAGTTGTGAGGACCTTGTATTAATAATATAATAAAAGAGAGCTGATTTTATATAGCAGACCAATAACACCTAGAAAATACAGATATTTAAAAGAGTTGGTTAAATGTTTGGATGATAATTCCATAGCATGTGAATTAGGGAGTATCAGGATCTTTTAGACTTTTCCTAAACATTGAAGTTGGTGCAATGAGAACAAGCCACTCCCAAAACATCCACTGCTGCTTCTGTCAGATACAGCTTGGTTCGATGTGAGGGCACGTTAGTCTGAATCAACATGGCATTTTCTGTTATCACTCTTTCAGCTCTGTCTGTATTCCAGAGGAAAAATCAACAATGTGGTTGACTAGTTAGACAAGATCTGGTTCTAAAAGGAATCTCATTAAAATAATTTTTATTAAAATAAGTGTATTTATCAAGTTAACAAAAATTCTTCAGAAATTTCCAACAGGAAAGATTAGTATACAGATAACAATGAGACAGTTTCTTCTAAGATGGGTTTTACATTAGGCCTTGAAGGGTCCAAAGATTCAGAATTGCACCCTCTACCCCTTTTAAAAGATAATATAGAGTGCAAGATTAAAACCTAAAAACTAAATCAACCAAAGTCCCCCAAATCTTAATAGGATATTTTCTAGTAGAGCTCAAGTAATACATACCCATGTGTGTGTAGAATTTTCAGCATAAGTGTAATTCACTGTAAGCCAGAAATGTATCTGAGACAGATCTCAATCAATTTAGAAGTTTAGAAGCCAAAGTTAAGGACAATTTACACCTGGAAGACAGATCTATGCCTTTCTCCAAAGATGATTTTGAGGGCTTCAATATTTAAGGGGAAAGAGGAAGGAATTTTTTAAAGGTGAGTATAGATAAGAGGCAAACAGTTGCATTCTTTTGAGTCTTTGATTAGCCATTCACATGCAAGGGTGGGTAGAGGAATAGTTGCTTATGTATTCTTCTAGCTCAGTGAATCTGTATTTTTACATCAGATAAATATATGGCAGAGGAAGTGATCAGAAATGCATTTGTCTCAGGTGAGTAGAGGGATGCCTTTAAGTTCTGTCCTTTGTCCTGTACCCGTGAAGCCATCAGTGTACCTTGTCAGGGTGAAATTCAACAGAACTTGATCTTGGGGCCCACAGGAATTTCCTAGAGGGCAAATTGTGAGGGAGGTATGTAGCTTTTTATTTATTTATTTATTTATTGCTCTGTCACCAGTCTGGAGTGCAGTGGCACGATCTTGGCTCACTGCAACCCCTGCCTTGCAGGTTCAAGTAATTCTCCTGTCTCAGCCTCCCAAGTAGCTGGGACTACAGGTGCGTGCCACCATGCCCAGCTAATTTTTGCATTTTTTAAGTAAAGACGGGATTTCACCATAATTGGCCAGGATGGTCTCGATCTCTTGGCCTCATGATCTACCCACCTTGGCCTCCCAAAGTCCTGGGATTACAGGCATGAGCCACTTCGCCTGGCCTGTAGCTTTTTTATCTTTGCAACTATCTTATTTAGAAACAAAATGGGAGGCAGGTTTGTGTAATGCAGTTCCCAGCTTGACTATTCCCTTTGGCTTAGTGATTTGGGGGAGCCCCAAGATTTATTTTCCTTTCACACCACTTTATGTTTACCTGAGACACACAGATGTATTCAGTTCCATATAAACAATTCTGTTACAAAGCCAAGTAGCCGTATTCTGCTTAAGCTGAAACTTTCTAAGTTAATTCTAAGGGTTGTATTAACAGAGGACCCTGAGGAAACAAAATAGCAAAGGCATTAGTTAATCTGATAAAGCAATGACAATTAAACCTGTTTTACTTTGTATTCACACAATAAAAAACAGAGCACTGAAATAATTGTCCAGATAATTCAGTCCTAAAATAAATTCTCCTAAAATAGCCAGGTGGTTGAGGCAAATGTGTCATTTTGGTTTAAGTTGACTGAATCACTGAATTAATTTTCCTACTATAAATAAACATACTGAGGCAATGAGAAGTTTTTGGGTTAGTGAGGAAGATCTCTAGATTTTTCTGTGATTATTTGTAGCTCTCTCCATCACTGCAGCACAGTGGAATAACCAATCTGCAGGTTTCCTGCAAAAGAACCATGCAGGAATGTTTGGGGATTTCTGTGTAACCAAGCCCTAGAAAAGCTGAGTTTGGGGATATAGCTGCTAAATTCCTGAGCTCTTGCACATGGCTCCAACTCTTTCCACTATGCCGAAAATAGCTTCCAATTGTTCTAAGGCGTTCAAGAATTGAGTTACTTAATAAAGTGCTCTTATATCTGGATTAAGGTATCAGACCAACAGAAAACCATGCAAGACCTGATTGGATGATATAAAAGGATGTTGCATAAGAATCTGAAGTCGTCATACACTGAAGAATAACAAAAGGTAAGATGACAAGGAAAATGTACCCCTAATAGCCAAACCTTGCTTATTGCTTACCTGCTGCTGAGGGGTGACTATATAGAGTGTAGTATATGTTAAGGAATAGGCATGTCATATTTTGTTAAAGATCCAATTCAAACTTTTTTTTATATGAAGAGTTCATTTGTTCAGTGAGTGGCTTAATTTGTTTTTATATTGTAGTTGAATAATAATTCTAGAAAGAGGTATTGGCGTGGATTTGTGTGGGAGCCTGGGCAACCTCTAAATGAGAATAATAATAACACCTGCCTCAGGGGCAGTAGTGAACAGTGAACTCCTTATCCCTTATAAAGGCTCTCATCACTGAGCTAGGCACATGCAGAATATTCACTAAAGTTTGGCTATTAGGATTGTAATTGGCCAGGTTATTATCCGACATAAAAATATGCCCAAAGTTTCCCATTTAGAAGCAGAGGACAGGTTTCTAAACGCTACAGAGTTTTTCATACCTTGTAATTTAAATTATTAAAGGTGGAAATGTTCGATTTAAATTTAGAAATACATTTAGAAATACTGTTTCTTGAATTTATTTCTTCTTTACAAAGGCAGAGGTAGGATTTCTGATCTAAGGATAGTCACCTCTCATTTCTTTTTTTTTTTTTAATTTAACTTTAGGTACATGCTATATCTGGCATTTCTCCCCATATTATCCCTCCCCACCCTCCCTGCCACCCCTCATTTCTAGCTTATCTTGTCAAGTCAGCATGCGATACAGCCCTGACCTCCATCACTGCAATACAGATAAGAATTTTCACTGCAGTGGTCTCCTTTGCGTCTCTCAATCAAATCCAAATATCTGGCCCAAGCATAAGCATGGTTGAGGAACCAGGGGCAATGTTTCATCTATTAATCAACATTTCACAGATGCATGGATGACCAAATCAGTTTATGGGAACACAACAGCTGACACACTCTTGAAATCTACTAAATGTCCCGCTCTCAGAAGCTTTTGCCCTCTGTTTTGTTTTGTTTTGTTTCTTTCTATGTCTATTTTGCTTTCTCTCAGTATATGCCCCTTTTCTCTGTGCTCCTTCCCTTTTTTTTTTTCTCTCCCTCTTTTTTTTTGACATGGAGGCATGCTTTGTTGCCCAGGCTGAAGTGCAGTGACAGGATCTCAACTCACTGCAATCTTTACCTCCCAAGTTCAAGCAATTTTCCTGCCTCAGCCTTCCGAGTAGCTGAGACTACAGGTGCATGCCACCACACCTGGCTAATTATTTTTTATTTTTTATTTTTAGCAGAGATGGAGTTTCACCATGTCGGCTAGGCTGGTCATGAACTCCTGACTTCAAGTGATCCGCCCGCCTCAGCTTCCCAAAGTGCTGGGATTACAGGTATGACCCACCGTGTCTGGCCTCATTTTTTGTATTGTTAAACTAATGATTGACTTAAATATTTCTGCCTATAATAGCTATACCAAAAAAGATACAAATGAAGTTCTTCGTGTGTTGATTTCCCACCACATCTCTGGCCCAGGTGTACCACCAGCCAACCACAGAAAAAAGATTATGTCCCTTTAATAAATAAAAGGCATTATTTTCATTCTGGTCTGGCCTCTTACCGCTCCCTGAAAACTAGCTGTGGGCATACCACATACGTTTGTGCATAAAATGGAAGCTTGCCACTTCAGCCAGGGTTTTGCTTCAGAGAACATTGTTTTCTGGAGTCCGGCCAGCCTCAGAGAATTTACCCAGACGATCCAGGAAACACTGAACCATTTCCATTTATGGACATTTTCCTTTACCAATTAAGAACAAAGGAGAGTTAAAAAATTTTTTTTCCTGATGGCTGTATTTTACATTTAAATTTGTAATGTGAATGCTGGCATAATTAGAACTCTTTGGGGAGATTTTTTAAAGGGCAGGGAACAGGGACCAACAGCCCTGTCTATTGCTGGCATGTTAACAGCCAGTGCTTCAGTTTTTATCATAAGTGAGTTTGAAAGCGGGTGACATGCCAGACATTCCTTCTGAAAGTAAACTAAGGTAATGATGGAACTCAAGGGAAAAATCAACATGTTACTTATAATTCTATTTTGGGGGTTGGGTGGAGAGAGGACCATTCTGAGAAATGATTTACACAGCACTGAAGAAAGAAAAGTCTCCTGGGCGATGACTGGGCTACAAAAGCAGCAGTGAACAAAGGGGACTTCCGGGGCCTAGCCTTCCTGGCCACACCCCGTGGGAATGCCCCAGTCCTTTTCCGCTCTGTGGTTGGAGAACCTCTGCGTAGAACTTTATCCTCACCAGCACCAGGAGTTACACTCTAAATGGACAGCTTTGGGGAGGATCAGATGAAAATCCAAATGCTCACTTCCTAGAAAAAAAGTCTGAGATGGGTTTAAAATGCATGACCCTAAGGAAACATTTCAAACAGCATCTTTTACTTTTTGTAAATTGCCAAAACAGACAGGTTTCCAGAAGAGGGGTCCTCCTGTCAAAGTGTCTCTGCTCAAAGGTCTGAGCTGGCAGCTTAGTGCTGATCCAAACCAGCAGAGATGTCAGGCCTGGTTTTGTCACACAATTTATGCAAACACTGTTTTGGTTTGGTTTTTTTGAGACGGAGACTCTCTCTGTTGCCCAGGCTAAAGTGCAGTGGCACGATCTCAGCTCACTGCAACCTCAGGCTTCCGGATTCAAGTGATTCTTCTGCCTCAGCCTCCCGAGCAGCTGGGATTACAGGCATGTGCCACCACACATGGCAAATTTTTGTGTTTTTTAGTAGAGACAGTGTTTTGCCATATTGGCCAGGCTGGTCTCAAACTCCTGACCTCAAGTAATCTGCCCATCTTGGCCTCCCCAAGTGCTGGGATTACAGGCATGAGCCACTGCTCCCAACCTGAAATTCAATTTATTTTGTCTTTTTTGTTTGTATTTCCCTGTGAGAAAACAGAAACAAAAGTGTCTGTTTTCTTTATTTTTTTAATTTTTTTTTTTTTTTTGAGACAGAGTCTTACTCTGTCATCAGGCTGGAGTGCAGTGGCGCAATCTTGGCTCACTGCACCCTCCACCTGGGTTCAAGCGATTCTTCCGCCTCAGGCTTCCGAGTAGCTGGGACCACGGCACGTGCCACCACACCCGGCTAATTTTTGTATTTTTAGGAGAGATGGGGTTTCACCATGGACAGGATGGTCTCGATCTCTTGACCTTGTGATCTGCCTGCCTCGGCCTCCCAAAGTGCTGGGATTACAGGCGTGAGCCACCGCGCCTGGCCCTTTATTTTATTGTATTTATCTGTACAACAAACTCTCATGACACAAGTTTACATATATAACAAACCTGCACATGTACCCCTGGACTTAAAAGGTAAAAAATAAGGGGCAGGGGCTCAGGCCTGTAATCTTAGCACTTTGGGAGGCTGAGGCAGGTGGATAACTTGAGGTCAAGGAGTATGAGACCAGCCTGGCCAACATGGCAAAAACCGTCTCTACTAAAAAACACAAAAATTAGTTGCATATTGTGGCACACGCCTGTAATGCCAGCTACTCAGAAGGCTGAGACAAGAGAATTGCTTGAACCCAGGAGGTGGAGGTTGCAGTGAGCTAAGACTGTGCCTGGGTGACAGAGCAAGACTCTGTCTCAAAAAGAATAATAATTGAAATATTCGGTAAGAAAAATCTGTATGTAAAGGAAATTTACAGATATGCAGCAAAAATATGAATTAATTAACAGCTTCCAAGTAAATACTGGTAATCTGGGCGTGAACCTGGATTAGGCCAAGAGTTCCACAAAATTTTAAAATTATGATTCAATAATCAATTAGTAGAAGAGTTGAAGCAAAAATTTCATCTTTCTCATATGGTATTTGTCAGTAATTATAACAACAGAAAAATGATTAGTGCTTAGTCATAATAATAATTTTTAAAACGATAATTATTATTCTTATTATGGCTGTACCTGTATAGTACATATTATGTGCCTGGTGCTGTTCTGAGCCCAAGATAATTCATTAACTCTAATAAATCTACTAAATATGTGTTTTATTATTATCCCCATTTTATAGGTTAAGAAACTAAGGATCAGAGAAAGCAAAGTAACCTCCTTGATGAGCAGAAGCCAGGATTTGGCCCTGGGAACCTGCCCAAGCCTCCTCAACTTTTAACACTCTTGACCTCAGTAATGCATTAGAGAAGAATTCTCAGATTGGTGAAAGGGGTCGATATTGTCCCTGAGCAAGGTAAGGTAGGAAACCAGAGCGGGGGTCTCAAGCCTGAGCCAGACAGGTGTTTGGATGTATGGAGAAGCCCAAAATAAGGCGATGCGAAGAGGTGGGAACTGAAATTTGGGGAGTGCCCGCCCTAAAGCATTTACATTTTAAAAATATGTTTAAAATCCTGCACTGTTTACATAAAGACGTTGCTGGTGGGTCTGGTGCCCAGGGGCCTGCTGACCATTTGCTGCCCCTGGTCCAGATGGCCTCCGAGACTCCTTCCAGAACTAACATCTTGGGAAAAATTAGAAATATTTGTTCAGAGTCCTTTGAGAGTTGATAGTTTACAATCTGGCCAGGTTATAATGGTCGTTGATAAATAATCTTTGATTGCATGTTGAATTCATTCAGTGTTGTGAATTTGTCTTTTTAATCTGACCTAACAAAGAGCTTATGGATTGTGAAGCCCGCTTGCCAGGTTTTGAATCTAGGCTTTGTAACTTACTAGCAGTGTGACTTTGAGCATGTTACCTGACTTTCACATGCCTGTGTTTTCTCGTCTGTAAAATGGGGACATTAATAGTACACCTAATTCATAGAGTTGTTTTAAAGGTTAAAAGGTTAATGTGATAAAGTATTTACAACAGCAGCTGACAAACAGTAAGCATTACATGTGTTTGTATTGCCATTATCACTGTCCAAAAATGATGCTAGATGAAAACATCTGTTCCAACATTTAAGATATAATGAATTATAGCAATCTGTACTAAAATGAAATCTTCCTTCAAGACTTTATTTCGTAGGTCCCTGTTCCTTGTTCCTGCAGGACTGTAGTGAATTGTACAACATGGATGGGACTCAGGGACAGGACCTCAGCTTCTGCAAGGCACGAGCGACTAGAAGGAAAAATTCTAAATACCTGGTCTCTGTGAACTGAAACCTTAGCCATAGCTGCAGACTGAGTTTTGAAAGAGAAGAATATTTGTGTCATTTGTTTGAATCCTAGGCAGAGTAGAAAAGGATCAAGCCTTGGGTGAAAAAGTTGGAGTTTCTTTTCTATTCCTCAGGTTTTGTTGCTGGAGATTTTGGAGTAGGTGTCCAGCCAGTTTGCAGCAACCTGTCTTGCGCCTGCCATTCTTGGGTGCCGTATTCGACCCTAGTTATTCCTAACACCCAGTTCATGCTCCACGTTCCATACAAAGCCATCCCTCGCTATCCCAGTTAGCCCACGCTGGTCTCCATGACATCCATGAACCAAAGTTCTTTGACACTTATGTCCGGGATGGTTTGTTTGTTATCTTATGTTGTTGCCATCCACAACACAGTCTAGAGAATATTCACAGATTTAGTCAGCAAACAGCTGTTTACTGGGGAGCTTTGTAGGCCTCGATGATGGGAAGAAGGGTTGGTTGTCTTGGACAGATTGTGTATATATAAAGCTCTAGCCATTTTTAAATCACTAGCAGGAATCAAAGTCTTCTCCTTGACAGCCACCTCTCTGAATTATTGCCCTAGCCTCCTTAGGAGTAGGGACAATATAGCTTATACTAAGATTTGCAGTTGTCTAGGTATTACTCTCCTCACCTGTGGATGACATTCACAGTTGGTCTCAACAAATATTTTCTCTAGTGCCCATGGAGAATGGCTGAGAAATACACTCTAAGATGTGAAAGAGTTTGGTGTCTGGATCGTCTGTCTTATTTAATTCAACCCAATATTTATTAAGCACCAACTGCAAGCTAGATGCTATACTAGTTAGGAATATAAAGTGGGCCGGGGATGGTGCTCATGCCTATAATCCCAGCACTTTGGGAGGCCAAAGCAGGAGGATTACTTAAGTCCAGGAGTTCAAGATCAGTCTGCCCACCCCAGCAAGACCTCATGTCTACAAATAATTTAAAAATTAGCTGGCTGTGTTGGCACATACCTGTAGCCCCAGCTACTCAAGAGGCTGAGGTGGGAGGATTGCTTGAGCCCAGGGATTGGAGGCTGCAGTGTGCTATGATGATGCCATCAAAACACACACACACACACACACACACACACACACACACACACACACACACGAAAACGATATTCAGTCTTTATAGGGAGGTTGGCCAGTCACCAGGTAACTTTATGAGTTGCTAACCCTGCTAATCAGGAAGTTATGTGGACCAGGAGGGGAACCCTCCTTGCTCCAGCCTGGAGAAAGGAGGCTGCTGTATTTCAAAGAGAGGTTGACCCTAAGCTGGAGAGTGGAGAGGACCCTATTGTGACTCTCAGACTGACTTGTCTTCCTTGATGTCCTTTAAGCCGGAGCTGATTTGGGCTGCTGCTTATTTGTGAGTTAGGGCACTTAAGATTGGGCCTCCCAGTTTGAGGAAGGGGCGGGCTCCTACCTACCTCTGTGAATCTGCCCCGGACCACCCCGGGAGAGAAGGAGGGCTCCGGGGACTCTGGCGCATTCCAGGCGAAGGCTCCCGGGCCACAGCCTCTGTGCCACACCCTTGGCCCGGGCCAGGTGTGCGCCCTCCTCGCGGCGAGGGGGAGCAGGCGGCTGCGGGGAGCGCGTTTCCAGCCCCGTGTGTGCTGCGTGTGTTTGTCAGCCTCTGGAGGGCTGGGTCCTCCTTATTCACAGGTGAGTCACACCCTGAAACACAGACTCTCTTCCTGTCAGGACTGAGTCAGGTAGAAGAGTCGATAAAACCACCTGATCAAGGGAAAGGAAGGCACAGCGGAGCACAGAGTGAGAACCACCAGCCGAGGCGCCGGGCAGCGACCCCTGCAGCGGAGACCGAGACGGCGCGGCCCGGCCCCACCATGCCTGCGCTCTGGCTGGGCTGCTGCCTTTGCTTCTCGCTCCTCCTGCCCGCAGGCCGGGCCACCTCCAGGAGGGAAGGTGAGTCGGCCTCCGCGAGGAAACGTCTCAGCCTTGGGCTGAGAACCTGCCTTTCTCTGCAGAAGGTGATGGCTGAACGTGCCTCCGAGGATTCCCACTTTGTCCAGAACTTCGTTAGAGCTCCCTTCTCCTCCCCTAGCTGGGGCTTCTCCAGAGATTCATTTTAAATGAAACGAATGTATAAACCTGTCTGCTTTTTAAAATAGGAAGCCAATAGGCTGTGCCAAAAGAGGATCTTCCTTACTTTAAAAATGTTCCTTTTTGATTTCTTTTTCCGACCAAGGGACGCACACCTGGCCCCCATTTAATCAGTAATACGTCGTTATTATATACGTTCTTTCCCCAGTGTGTGCTTTTATTAAAGAGGTTTTGGTGGGAATGTTTCCCATGACTGTGGACACCACAAAGATTGCAAAGGAACCTCTTCAATAATCCTGTAATTCATGTTTCAACTTTGGGATGGAGAAATGAGACTTCAGAGTGTTAGTAGTACCCTTAACTTTTGCATAATGTTACTTTTCATAGTATTTTCATGTAATATTCATTCAACAGGCATTTATTGGGCACCTGTGTCATACATCATCTGATCTTATCTAGGGCACCTAGTTGGCTCTCATGCATAAGTTTTGTTCATGTAAACAAAACTTTGTGAGAACCTAGCAACTGTTAACTGTATGCATGTGTCAGCTATGACAACACTTTATGGGTGTTTTCCTTGTCACTTAGTTCTATCGATATATGCCTGTTTAATTGCCCTGGTATTTTATGTTTATATTGCCTCCTGCACCTGATGGCATTTCAGTCATTTTTCAATAGGTCCAAGGTCAAGAGCCATTTCCACACATGTGGGTGCATGAATATGAGATAATGCTCACATGCACATGGAATTGTATAAGCTATTCCCATATTATTGTGCAGTCCGGGTGATGCTGGCCTGAACTGGATTTGAATGGCATGAAAAATGTTTGAGCATGTGTTTGAATGCATTGCTACAATTCTTTTTGTCTAAAATAGTCTTGGAATTAGCTTCTAACCCATCATTTCTGACTACCATTTTCAAAACCATGTATGATTGTCACCAGAAAAAGGTGGGGGAGGGGAGTAACTATGTGAAATAATGAATATGTTAATTTTTTACTGTGTATATTGAAACAATATCTTGTATACCTTAAATATATATAGTTTTAAAAAGTGATAAATACAGGAGGCTGAGGCAGGAGAATTGCCTGAACCCAGGAGGCGGAGGTTGCGGTGAGCCGAGATCGTGCCATTGCACTCCAGCCTGGGTAACAAGAGCGAAACTCTGTCTCAAAAAAAAAAAGTGATAAATAAAAGGTTCTGAAAATGATCATGTAGGTTAGAGATTCTCTTAGGGCTAGGATAAGAAGTCTCAGCCTAATGGAAGACAGCCCCAAAGTAAGACTGGTCTCTATTAGAATTTAAAGGAACTGCTTATGGATCAACTACTTGAAATCTCTTGATTTGAAAAATGAGAAAATGGAAACGTGTTTCTCAGGCAGCCACTGGCAGAGATTAAACTGGCGCTTGATCCATGGGCTCTTAGGCTGGAGCTTTTTGAGCCACATGATAAAAGTAATAAAGAAATAAGATACATCTTTTATGCATGAGAAGTAATTATTGAAGCAATTTTCTTGTTGGCTATAGTTGAATGCATATGTGTGTGTTAGCATTAAGGAAGAAAAATAAATATGTAGGATGCTATCGATTGTTTAATAAAATCAGGCTTAAGAGAACAGAGCTAGGACTCTCACTTCTTAAAGACAGACCAGCTTCTGGGCATCCATCTACCTCTTGAAGTCAGAAATGCCACTGAGGCTCATTTCCACTTTCCCCTTCCTTGGAGACAGACTAAAGTTTTATTCTCCTTCCTTAGAGTCCTTCATTTTGGGATTCAATGGGAATGTGAAGTTTGTTGTCAGAGTAGAACACACATGCTTTTTCATTCATGGGATGCTGGGATGTGCTAGAAGTTGGACTGAAAATATGGTACCCGCCATGTCCCAAAGTGACCATGTCTGAGTGTCCTGTGGGCCGCACATTTGAGAACCTAAAGCAGTGATGTTGCTTCCTGGTTGTTTCCTTGCAGTAGAAATTATGGCAATAGATGAAATCAGCAAGACTTTCAGGGCTGGACTCAGCTAAAGCACAGGCTTAGAGTCAGCCAGACCTGGCTTTACATTTTGGTTCATTCACTTACTAGTTCCTTATTAGTAACACTTGCTATTCACTTCTTTGTTGTTAAATGGAGGCAATAGTACTTCAACCTTATAGAGTGTTTGAAAGGATGAGCAATGATTGTAAAGTGCCTTTAAATCACTTTAAAAAAATTAAAAATCACTTTAAATCATTTTAAAAATGCCTGGAACCACATTTCTTTAAAAAGTCCAAAGCCAACAGTACAGTGTAGTGAACTCTTATGCCCAGAGATCATAAAGAAAGACCAAGGCTCCCCTTCAGGATAGGATTGCCTGGTGTGAGCTAAAGTGGCATGTGGCTCCAATGATCTGGATCTTAGTTCACAGTAGGAGGTAGGACTGGAGAAGGACTGAGAAAGAGATAAGAAAGAGACTAGAAGCATAACCACCAATATGCACGTGAAGGGCTTTATGTGCCAGGCTGTGCCTGCAGGCAAAGAAGAGCTGTGAATGGTTCATAAGCAGGAATGAGTGTGACTGGATTCAAGTTTTAGAAAGGTCATCCACTCAAGGGCTTAGAGAATGCAGTGGAGCTAGGGGAGCTAGACAGATGATGACTGCAGTAATTCAAACGAGAGATGATGAAGGCTTTCATCATGGTAATGAAAGCAAAGAGGAAAAAGATTACAGGGACATTTAGAAGGTGAAATATAAAGAATCTGGTGATCTAATATAGGGATATGTGTACGGGAAAGCTGTGAAAAATAAGGAAGAGTCCAAGATGGTTCCAAGGCTTTAGGTTTGTACTTGGTTAGACAGTGATGCCATTAAAGGATGAGGACTGTAGAAGGATCAGCCCAGACCCAGTGACTTATGCCTGTAATCCCAGCACTTTGGGAAGCCGAAGTGGGTGGATCATTTGAGCCCAGGAGTTTGAGACCAGCCTGGGCTACATGGAGAAACTCCACCTCTAGGAGGCTGAGGCAGGAGGATCACTAGAGCCTGTGAGGGGGAGGCTGCAGTGAGCTGTGATTGCACCATTGCACTCCAGCCTGGGTGACAGAGCGAGACCCTATCTCAAAAAAAAATTTAAAGAAATAAAATAAATATGCAATAAAAATAATAAAAGAGGGATCGGATTTGGGAACAAGGTTGGACAGTGGGTAGTGAGGAAGGAGTGAGTTCCTGTGGGGATCTGTTGAATTTGAGATGCATATAGAGATGCCCAGCAGTTCCAGTGAACAGTTGGAACTATGATTTTGAAGTTTAGAAGAGAAATTCGAGATATAAATTTGGAGGCTCACAGGTAGAAAGCAAAGTGTTGACCACAGATGAGATTGCCTAGGATATGGAGGTAAAAGAAACCTCGACACTTAAAAAAGAGATAGAGGAACAAGGGAGCAGAATCAAGAGGAATGAGCACTGAGGATAGAGGAGAATCAAGGAAGGAGAGGGTTTTGTTAGTCAGAGGAAGGCTGTCAGCAACATGGCAGAAATAACTGGTATTCAGATATCCAAATATGCATATGCAAAGAATGAGGACTAACATGACACTCCTGGATTCAGCCGTCATGTGAGTTTTGAAGCAATTGTTTTTCTAGAATGGTGAAATCAGAGTCCACAATTATTATAGATCACTAATTTGGTTTTCCCCATGCCCTGATGCTAGAATAAAGATGCTGTGGATAGAGGAAGGATCCCTGGAAACATTTATGCTTCCTCATAGATTCTGTTATTGAAATCATTGAAGTGGTATAGCATCATACATAAAAGTACAGGCTCTGGAGTAAGACTGCCTGGATTCAAATCCCAGCCCTGTCATGTACCACTGTGGGACGTATATATTGTGGGACCTGGGCAAACGACTTCGCCTGCTGCTTGGCTTCTACATCTCTAGAATAAGGATAATAAATTGAAATGACCATTACACAAAAAGCACTTTGTACCTTACCTGGTAAGCACCCACTACATGTTAATAGATTACTGTTATTGTTACGGCTAACTGCCCTGTCAGTACTGAATTTGGTATATCGCCTTCTGTGTTTTAAGTGGTAACATTTTTGAAGGGGCTCCTTTTTACTCTCCTTCATCAGACCAAGAAAGGTGCTGAGGAGCCTTTCTGCTCAGCAGAAATGAGCCCCAAGTTTTACCTACTGAAACAAGGAACCCAAAGCAGGTTGCAGTTTCAAGATTGGATCTCGTGTCATTCCTTCTTGCCTTTTTCATCCACCAGAGCTCATCACATACAGACTCAGCAAATCTATTGCTTTCTAAAATGTACTTAAATGTAGGATGACCCCACAAAGATGATCTCTCATTTCCCAATGGGAAGAACTTCCCTCACATCCAAAGAAAGGATTTGGGCAACTTGATTATGAAAACATTTAGCAATATAGATGTAGTAGTCAAATGTCTCTTTATATTTAATTTAGTAAACTAATTACACAGATATATTGAAAGTCACATAATTGATGAAACAATATACTTAGAAGTATTGATTTGTTCACTAACATTTCATGATGTGATTATATTCAAATTATATTCTATTATATTCATCTCACCAGATGACTTGAGATATAGTACTGTTTGAATCTGTTTTTGATGTGGTCACTGGAAAGTACATCATTTATCCTTCAGTGTATATTGTGATCTTCACAGCATAATCACTCTAAAAGGCTTATATGCAACAACTTTCAGCACTCACAATTATGAAGGCATGCACCATTATGAGAATTGTTTAGATAGCTGGTCCCCCTTCTTACTGATAAGTCTCCAATACATTGATTGAGGCCATTTTAGCTTAATGTATCTTCTTCAAACAATAATAAAGTAATTGAGAAGGTA